CCAACATCCACTTTCAAACTAGTTTGACCACAATTCACAGTAAGAAAGACTATTTATATTATGACTTAGGGCTTATATGCATATGTATATACACACACACATATATAATGTATGGGCCTCTCCCAACGTTGACACAATCATAATTACTGAAAACTCTCTCCTTGGGCATCAGGTCTTACAACCAATTTCTCTCTTCATCTTCACCAAGTTGTTGCAAGAGTGATCTCTAAGACTGTTGTTGCTGTTTGTTGTTAAGTACCGTCCAGTCGATTCTGACTCATAGCGACCCTGTATAGGTTTTCTGAGAAGTGGTTGGTGAGTTTGAACCACCAACCTTGTGAATCAAATTGAGTGTGGTTGAATGCTTATCCTACATCGCCACCCCTGGACTCTTAAGACTGTACTAGTGCCCCATGGTTGGTGTAGCGAATTACTACAAACTCAGAACACAATTTTTCTTTTATAGGTCTGGAGGTCAGAAGTCTATAATGTAGATGTTGGCACAGTTGTTTTCCTTCTGGAGGTTTAGGGGGAAGAATCTCTGTTCTTGTCTTTTCCAGGATCACTGCTGGACTGCAGCCATAAAGTGGGCAATTCAAACCCATCAGCTGCTCCTCAGAAACCCTCTACAGGGTTGCTATGAGTTGGAACCAACTCAATGACACTTAACAACAGCAACACTTAACAACAGCAACAGGCTGCCTGCATTCCTTGACTTGTGATGCTTCACTTTCACCTCTGGTTCTGTCATTGCATTCCTTTTTCTGACTTTTAACCACTTGTCTCCCTCAAATAAGGACCCACACACATAGTCCAGGATAATATCCTCCTCTCAATAGCCTTAACTTGTATTTCATCTGCAAAGTTCCTTTTGCCATGTAAGGTTACATATTCACATATGGCTCTTGAGATGAGAGCATGGGCATCTTTGGTGGGGTGGGGAGATATTCTATCACAAAAACCATCTTTGACTTCCCCAACTTCTCACTTTTCAGGCTTTTCCAAAACAGGCTTCTCTCCCTGTCCACTATTCTAAATAACTCCCTAAATGGTCCTCATTGTCCTCCATGTTGCTGAAATCTGAATAGTTTTACTTGTCATTCTTCCTGACCTCATAGTAGTTTTTGACACAGTAGACCAAACAGAAAGAGGTACGCTAGAGGACCAGACATACGAGGGGTGGTCGCTGGTGCTCCCAAATCTGACATGCTGCATCTTTGGAGGAGGATGTTCAGGATTGAATTGTTGTTGTTGTTATGTGCTGTGGAGTCGGTTCTGACTCATAGCGACCCTGCACTGGGTTTCTGAGGTTATAAATCTTTATGGAAGCAGAAAGCCTCATCTTTCTCCTGTGGAACAGCTGGTAGTTTTGAACTGCTGACCCTGAGGTTAGCAGCCCGATTCATAACCACTATGCTACCAGAGCTCCTTTCCAGGATTGAATGGTGTCCTCTTAAAATATGTGTTGGAATCCTGTTCTCCACACCTGTGGGTGTAATCCTGTTTGTAATTAGGATTGTCTTTGTAATGCCCATTAAACCAAACACAAGTAGAGTGGGTTCTAAATCTGATCACTTCTGAGTTTTAAAAAAAGAACAGATTAGACACAGATACCCAGACACATACTTGAAGGAAGTCAGATCATCAACAAGTCAAGGAATATCCAGTATAACTGGCAAGGAAGGAATCAACGTGGCTAAGACCCTGATTTGGACTTTTAGCTCTCAGAACTGTGAGAAAATAAATGTCTGTGTTTTAAAGCCAGCCACTTGTGGCATTTGTGTTATAGCAGCACTAGGAGACCAAGCTAGAGAGTCTTAGTTTGCATCTCCAGCTGCTGAAGAAGTTTCACAACTCCCCTCATTGATAAATTGTCCAAAGTCTCCATGGTGTCTAGACTCTATCACTTTACAATTACTGGTCGAGTAACTGCAGGTACTGTTTTAAAAACAGACATTTTTATTGAAATAAAGCAGTACACAAATCATATGTGCATAAAGCTCAGTGAGTGTTCACAAAGTACAACATGTGTCCACCATTCAGACCAAGAAAAAAAGCATTGTCAGCTCCCTGAGGGCTCGCTCACACCCCCTCCCTGTCACTAACCCCTCTTCTCTGGGGAGGTGTAGGTAATTGAAGAGAGAATTAGATTGAGTCTACAGGAAGTTTTACCACTGATGTATCGTCTTTGTACCTTACCTGCACAACATTGGAACCGAATGCAAAAGGACCTGAAAGATCTCTCATTAAGTTCATGAGCCAAGTTCCTATTTCCAGAATATTATTCTCAGAATAAAAATACAGTGTGCAGAGGAGCTTGAACCATTTTGTTGCTCACACATTGTGTTTTGATGTACTTGATCTCTGGAGCTCCAATGCTATTTAATGAGGACAGAAGGACCAGCTGACTGGTTGTCCTTGAGTCCGTTCCAACTCATGGTGACCCCATGTGTATCAGAGTAGAACTTCCCTGTAGGGTTTTTAATGGCTGATATTTTAGAAGTAGATCAAATCTTTCTTTTGAGGTGCCTCTGGGTAGATTCAAACATCTAAGTGTTTGGGTAGCAGCCCAGTGCATTAACTGTTTGCACCACCCAAGGCACCAAATGTTGAGTCTTGGAATCAACCAGTGCAGTGGGTTTGGTTTACCAGAAGTACTCCGAATCATTCCCACAGCCTGATAGTAATTTTACTTCCCAATTTAGACTTTGCTTCCTAAGTGGACTTAGTGTCTCCGGTTTCTTGGCTAGGCTGTTGTCTTTCAAGGTTGGGGGCGGGGTGGGGGGTGGGGTGCAGGGATAGAGTTGCAGGGAGAGAGTTGAGGTCTGGAATGAGTGTGCCAATGTGTATCCCTTGCCTTCATCATCAACATTCTGGACTGGGACAACCCAAGGCAGTCTGTCTCACTTCCTTTTACTGAGCATTTTGGGGATGCTCAGGGAAGTGGAGAATTACGGTTCTGAGAAGGATTTTGAGACTTCAATAGGAACAATTTAAGCACAGTACAGTCCGTGTGGGAACAGGGGCATTGTGAAGCACCCCCTTTGCGCTACCTCCTCCTGTCTTACTTCAAGTGAGCCACATCCTTCCTCTCAGGCCACGGACTGGACTGCCAAGCCTGTCTCCCACACACCTCAGCGAAAAGTCCCTGGCTCTCCTCCCAGCTGTCTGGCTGTTGACCTCAGGAGGTGTGAGACAGAGGAAGGGGTTCTACAGTCAGGATGAACCTTCCCTCCCCTTTCTGAGAAACAGCTCAGGTCCCTGAAGTGGCCAGACCCTCTCAAAGCTTCTCAAAACCAAAGGCCCAACCACTATTCCTCCAACCTACATGGGACCTGGCTAAGGAATGGGGGATGGGACCTGGCACCCACCCACCCTCCTTCTGTGCTTCCTGTGAGTGGGCCCTTAGATTGGGCAGGTCTCCTGCTTTGCTTTCCTCTCTAGTAGTGAGGTAGCCTTAGGAGCGACTTCATAAACTCAAACTGCATCCCCTCTCTCCAGGTCCACATGGTGGGAGGCTCATGGAAGATCAAAAGCAAGAGTCTCCATCAGGACAGGCAACTACGTGCCCGGGGGACACCCACTTAGAATGTTTCCCTGTTTTATAGAGATGTTCCAGGACTCTTTGGCTCCAGGCCAACCCCTCAGTACTTCCTATAGGGAGAGGAGCCCTGTGAGATTACACTGGGTCAGACCAGAGCCGAAGTCTCTAGCCCCAATCTGAGAAGGGGTATCTGCTTCTTCAGTCCCAAATCTGGGTCTAGCTCCAGACCTTTTCTCTAGAGCTGCTAAAGTGGCTCCACCCACATCTACCAGTCCCTTCCCCAAAAGAATCAAGGTCATCCTGCCCCCAAACCAATGAAGGAGTAATGGATTCTTAGAATGCTTGTAATCCAGTTTATGGAGCAATGGGTTACTTTTATATGGCCTTTCTCACCGTGTCCTTGTAACTGCCACCAAATGATGGGTTGTTGTTAAGTGCTGTCGAGTCAATTCCAACCCATAGCAACCCGATGCAAATGATGTGCTTGTTGCCTACCATGGGGACTGGACAACTTGATATGAATAGAAATAAATGCATAGTGCCCTTGTTGGGGTGGAATAATGCAAATAATGTGTATGGATCCTAAGGAGGGAATTGGTCAGTTATGGCTCATCTCTGAGGTACAGACGGGGAAGCCTCACCACCACCAAGAAAGAAGAGACAGGAACAGAGTGCACCATGACCCCGGGCCCTTGCACTGAGAACTTTCTAGACTCAGATGACTGAGAGTGCTAACACTGGAGAAAGCCTAAGATGGCAAGAGGTGGTGGCAAGTACCACAGAGAACCGATAGCAGCAGAACCAGGACACCAGCAGGAAATGGTGTGGTGGGCTTCATGGCCTACTGACAGAGCAATAGAGTTGGAGACATTATTTTTGGGTTGGAGACTCACTGGTGGAAAGGAGTGCCTCTGAGCTCACCAACCCAGAGAGTTAGAGAATTGAGCACCTTTAGGACAAGGCTTACTGGAGAAGTGGGGTGCCGCTGGGCACTTACCAGTGAAACTAAAAGAGCTTTGTAACACTTGCCTGAGCGGGAAAAGATTGGGCTGACCCAAGAGGACCCAAGGACCAAGAGACTAAGGAGGGAAAGATCTGCTCATGGGTATAGCCACAAAACTGTCTCAACTATATCCAGAGTTGTTCCTAATCCTGAATTGTAACCTGCCTGTTACTTCCCTGGTAAACCATGTGATCGTGAGTATTTGTGAGCTCTGTATGGCCAGTGTGAAAAATTCTTGAACTCGGCAGAGAAGCAGAGAGTACCGTGGGAGGGATGGCTGGTATCAGAATTGGCAAAATAGTTTGGAGAAAGAAGGTATATCTGACCTCTGTTTCATAGAAACCAACCTTGGGTTGTTAATGCTGACAGTGATCCTTCTCCCCCTTTGTGAAGTTAGATGAAGAGGTCCGGCACCTTCATGACACGTTTTTTACATGGCTGAATATTTTCCAGGTTACCTAACTAAACTCCTGCAAAATCACACCGCCTATGCCTGCGATGGGGACCACTTGAATCTCCAGTGTCCTCGGCATTCTACGATAAGTGTCCAGTCAGCATTTTATGGGCAAGATGACCAAATGTGTAGCTCCAAGCAGCCTGTATCTCAGAGGAAAGACAGCCTACCCTGTGTGGCTTCCACCACACTGCAGGTATTGCCTCTCATAGACGTTTTAACATGATAAAATGGTCCAACTCTTTCATTCTCCATGCATTAGTGTGGTGGTGGTAGTGGTGGTGGTTGTGTGCTGTGGAGTTAGTTCTGACTCATAGCAACCCTGCATATGGTTTCCAAGGCTGTAAATCTTTACAAGAGCAGAAAGCTTCATCTTTCTCCTGCAGAACAGCTGGTAGTTTTGAACTGCTGACCTTGAGGTTAGCAGCTTGACTTGTAACCACTATGGTACCAGAGCTCCTTTGCATGAGTGTATACCTATGATTGTATAGTTCGCTCTAAACAATCTGACTCATGTAAGTCCCAATTTATATAAATCAGAAGTTCTGCAGATGAGCTATTTACATGCTTCCCAAAAGGATATTTTACCAAACAAGTTGAAATGTTGTTGTTGAGTGTCATAGAGTTGGGTTCCAACCCATATCAACCTTGATTAGGGTTTCTGAGGATTAATTGGTGAACTTGAACCTCAAGCCTCCCGGTTCAATCAGACTTTGCAGTCTAGCGCATTAACCAACAGCACCACACCAGGACTTCAAACAAGTTGAAATAGAATCCCTATTTATTGCATATCTCCCTTAATACATTTGCAACATGGATTTACTTTCTGTCAGTACTCCTTATTACAGTCTTGTGAGCTTCAGCCTCCAGGTCCACATCTCTTATCAAACCCTCAATACAAAAGGAAGGTTGTGGGTTCTTCAGTGCAAACCACAAGTGTCTCTGTGAGGCAGACATCTGAGGTCATGACCAGCTACTTTGAGAATATATTTAGAAGAGAAAAATAGTGATGCCTGTCTTTTAGTTCAGTTTTTTGTTTTCCTTTTATGATTGTAAATAGCCATGTTATCCTTATTGTGAGCATTTTGGATGGTTTTTGTTGATTGTTCTTTCTACTGGTCAGTATAAGAAATTGAGGTGGTAGACCAAAAAGTCAGTCCTTTTTGAGGGTTGGTATATTTAGGGAAAGATTTGGCATATGAGGAGGTCAAAACTATGATGGGACTTCCAAAAGCTTGTAGGAAAATTCCATTATCTTTTAATTCCCTTTTTTCATGAACTTTTTGAAACTCCCTCATAATAGCTCTGTGATGTAAACACTCTTTTTTGTTGTTAAGTGCTGACGAGTCGGTTCTGACCCATAGCGCCCCTACATAGGGTTTCCAAGGAGCAGCTGGTAAGCTTGAACCACCAACCTGGCAGTTCACACAGCTTTGCAGTCAGGCGCATTAACCCATAGCACCACACCAGGACACAGACCACTGCTATTGTCCAAGCAATTTTTACTTCTTTTTTCCCCCAGCCCTTCAATATTAGTAGTTAGCTGGCCAAGATTACTGGAGTCTTGGCTTTGGGTTTTTTTTGTTGTTGTTGTTGTTTTCATGTCTTCTATGCTCCATATGAATATGCTGAAATAAGGTGGTTAGGGCAGGTGGCAAATCAGAAAACATTTTGAATTTGTAAGCCATAGAAAAGGTGGGTAAAGATACATTTCTAGGCGAAATATAAGAAACAATTATATTGTATGCAGATAGCTCTCTCGAAGGCCTAAAGACAAAAAGCAAAATTAATATGGCAATATCAGGTTTAAAAGCCCTCTTCCACTATTTATCACTTTCATTTCAAGCATCATAGTATTCAGGTTGCCATGTTGTGAGTGAAAACACAAGTTGAGTAGCCAAAAGAAATGTAATTGAGTTAATGGAAAGTGATTTCCATTCCTTATGGAGAGGCAACCTTTTTTTTTTTTCTGAACGTGAGCAACTACTTTCCTTGTTGGCCCCACCCTACCCCCAATTCTTCCCTTTGGTGCCACCCCACCACCACCAGAACCATTGCCTCATTGGGTCTCCCCAGCCCTCATCCCAAATCTCCTGTTCACCCATCGCTGGTCCCAGGCTGTGTGCTGCCCTTCAAAATGTTGGGCCACTGCCAAGCAGACAGAATTGCTTCCTTTGGGAAACTCTGAACTCCTGGCACCCAGGAGTTCCAAAGAATGGCACCGCCCTCACCTCACCATGGGCGCCTACCTCTGCCAGGCAACCCTGAGGGAAGAAGATGTTCCCTAACCAGGCCGACAAGTTAGCATTTGTGAACATAATTCTGATGTTATTTGGAAGGTTTGTTTGCCAGAAACAGCCTGTGCCCTGCTTTTTCATCCAGAGATCAAGAGATCCTTTACATCATATCTTTTAAACTGTTTTGGATGCTGAGGCGAGGTGCTTCCTCAGGGGAGGGTTGCCTAACTTAGGAGGAGGACAGGTTGATGTCCACACAAGGGAACCTCAGTTAATCCAACCCATGACTCAGTGTCCACAGAAAGTGTTCCTCTTAGCGTTTCCCAGGGGTGGTGCCGAGGGATAAGCAGTGAAATGCAAAGTCAGTTTGAACCACAGGGTTGGCAGTTCAAACCCTACAGCAGCTCCTCGGAAACCCTACACTGGGTTGCTATGGGTGGGAACCAACTCGACAGCACTTACCAACCACAGCACAGGTTAGAAATAGCCCTGCCTGAGCCTCCTGTGGTGATATCAGCATCATTTAATCATGGCACATGGTCACTGATATGCACTGTCATCTGAAAGTTGTGCCTGTTGGGGGCTTGCAGGATCCACATCAGGGTGGACCCCTAAGGTGACAAATGATTCCTTCATGGAAATGCTTTGTGAGCTCTAGTGAGGAGATCTGGTGGCATAGTGGGTTACTGTTGGGCTGCTAACCACAAAGTCAGTAGTTCAAATCCACTGGCCACTCCCCAGAAGAAAGAAGAGGCTTTCTGCTTCCATAAAGATTTACAGACTCAGAAACCCTACATGGGACCGCTATGAGTCAGAATTGGCTTTACAGCAGTGGGTTTTTGGTTTGGTAAGAAAGTGATGATTCAGGAAGCCTCATGAATCTGAGCTAAATCCAGCCCAAAAGGAACAACTGGATTCTGGGTAGAGTTTTTACTATACTTGGTGTCTTTTTTACCAGAACCAAGTCTGGGACCTCTGTGTTTATCTTGGACAGGCATGTTCTTTTTGAGAACCTGAAAATGGAAGAACAGCAGCTAAGCGCTGGGCCTTCCCATGGCCTGAGGCAGATCATTCTGTGAGCTTCCACAGAGCAGATTCTTTTAAAAACCCCTGAGCTGCCGGGAAGAAATCAGGAGAGAGAGATTTGAAAGAAAGCTCTTAAGCCCGATGCTTCAGAGGGTCTGAGTACTTCACAAAGAATGTTCCTCAGCAAGGGAGGCGTGGGTCCCATAGTTTTGAATTTGATGTGGGTGTGAGGCAACTTTTACATTTTCACTTGTTTGCCTGTGTAATGGGTCAAAGAGAAAAAGCTGGAAAGGGTGTGGATCTCCCAGGCCTCCCCCAGATGCCAATCTCTTCTGTGGCCTGTATGGAGCCATTTCTAAGGCCGAGGAGCCATGTTTATGATCTCTGGTTCCCACAGTTCTCTCAGCTTTAAAGTGAGGCACTTCTTTCGAAAGAACCCTGTCAGACCCCCATTCTACAGATCGCTGATCTTGCTTGTGTCTCTGGGAAACTTTGCAATGCAGAATTTTTGTCAAAAGTATAAATATATTGTTGTTGCTAAGTGCCATCAAGTCACTTTGACTCCTAGCGACCCTGTTATAGGGTTTCCAAGGAGCAACTTGTGAGTTTGAACTTCCGACCTTGGAATTCAAACAAATCTTTCAGTCTAGTGCTTAAACTACAGCACCACACACCAAGACTCCAAAAGTATTAATAGCGGTACAAAAAATACCTCCCCAGATTCCACTTAACTGCCATCTAGTTGAGTCTGAATTGTAGTGACCTTATAATAGGACAGAATAGAAGCACTTCTTAGGATTTGCAAAAGCAGCTGGTGGGTTTGAACTGAGGACCTTGTGCTCAGCCGCCCAATACTTTACCCATTGCTCCAATGCCAGTCAAGGCTAATTGCAGATTGGTTTTCTGACGGAAGCCTGGTGCCGTTGGATCAAGTTTCTTCCTTTGGGAAAGAGTGGGGAGATGATGTCAGGTAACCTAGTCATTCACACATAATTGAGTGTTTTCAGCTTAGACACAGACCAAAGCAGATCGAGCATTCTCTGCATGAACCTTGGCCTGGCAGGGAGGTATCCCTTCCCTCAGAGCAGCCTGGTTTGGGAACTCTCAGACGCTGTGTGCAGCTTTCACGTCTGTCCCTTTTCTACCTCCTCATTTTAGAAGGTGCTGGATGAATGCCAGAACCAGCGGGCCTGCCACCTCCTGGTCAATAGCCGTGTTTTTGGACCTGACCTTTGCCCAGGAAACAATAAATACCTCCTGGTCTCCTTTAAATGCCAACCTAGTAAGTAACTTCAGGGGGCAGGGGATGGGGTGGGGGGAGGCTACAATGCATTTGGTACTGTGGGTTCCAAGTTTTGTTCACACACCTGATGAAAATTTTCTGCTGCTTAGCATTTGTTTTGAAACTCTGGTTAATAGAAATGTTGGGGCACTATTCCACCTGGTATGTGTGTGAGTGTATATGTGTGTAGGTATGCATATATCGATGTACCATTGTGTGCACATATGTGTTCTTATGACCCTCTGAATTAAATTTCCCCTAAGCAAAACTCAGTTGTGCAGATGCTAGAGATTATCAGGGGTGGGGGAGAGGCTGTTACGGCTTCTCCTCAAAATGAGGAATTAGTTCTCCTTTTCAGAGGATATATTTTTAGGAGGCTGATTTTTTTAGGACTGCTGATTTTCCTGAGAGGATCAGTCACGAGGTTTGCCAACTGAGACATCACTTCCGCTTTCTGAGCCACCACTAGTTTCTTTCCACTTTCATCTACAGCATGGGCTACTTTACAAGTGTATTACGGGTTGCAATATATGTCCCCAAAAGGTATATTGAACATCTAACTCTTAATACCTGTCAATATGATCTTGTTTGGAAATGGGGGTCTTTGAAATGTTGGCAGTTGTGTTACCAGGAGGTCACACGGGAGTCGATTGGGTCTTAATCCAATATGAATAGTGCCCTTATTAAAAGAGTAGAAGAGACAATGGAACTGCTCTGCAGCAGCCAGAGAGACAGTAAAGGCCTCCCCTACAGCCTACAGAGAGTCCGTGCCTTGTCGATGGTCTGACAGACTTTAGTTTCCAGAACCATGCCAGCATACATTTCAGTTGTTTTGACAGCCCTAGAAAACTACTAACCAGTAACCACTGAGTTCATTCTGACCATGTGCGTCATATTCGAACGGTGCTACATAAGGTTTTCTTTCTTTTCCCCCCAAACTTTTTACTATGAATTCACTGAAAATTTACAGAACAGATCATCAGCTTTATATTCGACATACCATACACTTTGCTTCACTACATGGTTGCAATTCCCTCCATGTACGAACAGTTGACAGCATTTACCTGTATTCCCTTTAACTATTGCATTCTTCACTGTGTCTCCCGCTACTTTCATCTTCCCTCTTCTAACCTCCCTCTTGTTGTATATTTCCTGCCCTGTCACCCATGTTAACATGTGTCTACCCTCTAGCTCATGAATAATTTTCCATCCCACCCCCAACCATTATTGTTGTTGTCAGATGCCATCGAGTCGGAACCGACTCATAGTGACCCCATGCACAGCAGAACGAAACAATGTCCGATCCTAGGTCAACCTCACTACCGCTGCCACACTTGAGTCCATCAATGATGCCACCTGGCTGATCCATCTCGTTAGGGGTCTTCCCCTTTTTCTCTGACCCTCCACCTTACGCAGCATGACATCCTTCTCCAGCGACGGTTCCCTCCTGACAATATGTCCAAAGTAGGAGAGACGAAGTTTAGCCATCTTGGCCTCCAAGGAGCACTCTGACTGCACTTCTTCCAAAACAGATCTATTGGTTCTTTTGGTAGTCCATGGCACTTTCAGTATTCTCCTCCAACACCACAATTCAAAGGCATCAATTCTTCTACCATCTTCCTTATTCATTGTCCAGCTTTCGCATGCATATGAGGTTATTGAAAATACCATGGCTTGGGTCAGGCGCACCTTAGTCCTCAAGCTGACATCTCTGCTCTTCACTACTTTAAAAAGTTCCTGTGCAGCAGATTTGCCCAATGCAATACGTCGTCTGATCTCTTGACTACTGCTTCTGTGAGTGTTGATAGTTGATCCAAGAAGAATGAAGTCCTTGACAACCTCAATCTTTTCTCCATTGATAAGAATGTTGTTTATTGGTCCAGTGGTGAGGATTTTTGTTTTCTTGACATTGAGATGCAATCCATACCGAAGGCTGTGCTTTTTGATCTTCATAAATAAATGTTACAAGTCCTCTTCACTTTCAGCAAGCAAGGTTATATCATCGGCATATCGCAGGTTGTTAATGAGTCTTCCTCCAATCCTGACGCCACGTTTTTCTTCATAGATTGTTTCTTTTATCAAGAAAACTATTTTTTAACTTTTTTACAATATTGGCCTCATACAATGTTTGTTCTTTTGTGATTGACTAATTTCACTCAGCATAATTCCTCCATGTTTAACAATGCTGTGAGGTGTTTCACAGATTCATCATTATTCTTCAATGTTTTGTAGTATTCCATTGTGTGTAAGTACCAAAGTTTGTTTAACCATTCTTCTGTTGATGGGCATTTAGGTTTTCTCTGTCTTTTGATATGCCTCTTGTAGACAGCATATTGAAGGATCCTTTTTTCTTATCCATTCTGCTCTTTATGTCTCTTGACCAGTATATTTAAACCATTTACATTCAGTGTAATTATCAACAGACATGAATTGATTATTGTCATTTTTCTGTTGTGGTTTTTGTTTGTTTGTTTCTTACATGCATGGTTGGTGTTTCATTTTTCCAAGAATGGTTCTAAAACATCACACTAAGTCAGGTTAAATGGTAAGGTTTAAAATAGCCCATTTTATAAGGATAAGTTGTAATGATTGTTCATTCTACAAAATCTTGATCTTAGAGCTTAAGATACACCTAGTTGGCAGTAGCACCCAGGTTTTCCAAATTCATCAGTCATCATTTTTCTGTCATCTGCATAGACTTCTTCTCATTAGCTGTTTTCTGCTTTTGTTGCATAATCTCAGAGTCCCTCTGCTTTCTCTGAGAAGTACTCAGCTATCCTCTTCTCTTTTTCTTGCTAATCTCCTGGGTTTGCTTCATGTTTTTCTGGCGGGCAAGTTCTCTTTGATTTCCATGGGCCATACCGACTACTGGACAGTGCCTGGAAGAGAGTGACTTGGAAAAGCAACGGTTCCCTGCACTCACAGCCACCATCACTACCCATGGATCACAGAAAGCACAGAGCGCCAGCCCTTCACCAAGTGACGCCGTGGTTTTGTGTGTATGTGTGTGTGTGTGTGGCTGCTGGATTCTTTGTTCCATGTTATTTTCTATGTTGAGTTCATTTTGTTTTTGGATATTCTTTTCATTTTCATTTCTGTTATGCTAATGTTTACTAAAAGGAGCTCTGGTAGTGTAGTGGTTACGAATCGGGCTGCGAACCTCAGGGACAGCAGTTGGAAACTACCAGCTGTTCCGTGGGAGAAACATGAGGCTTTCTGCTCCTGTGAAGATTTACAGCCTCGGAAACCCTGTACAGGGTCGCTATGAGTTGGAAACGACTCCACAGCACATAACAACAACAACAACAGCAATGTTTACTAAATCTTTCTGATTTTCCCCTTTTTAAAAATTTTGATGTGCAGGTGTATTATTTTTTTTGAGGTTACCCTGCAATTTATCAAATTTCCCCCCTGCTTAAAGCAATCTGTTTTCTCTTAAAATTTACTTGACTTTCTTGACATTTGAAAGTTCTGTGTCTATACTATTCCCTCTTTTTGCTCTGTAGTTGACTTCGTTATACATTGATATCTCTGGTTTCCTATGTTCAGTCTTGGTGGTTCAAACTCACCAGTCGCTCCTTGGAAGCCCTACACAGGGCTATGAGGAGGAACTGACTCAACAGAAAATAACAACAAAAACAAAATATCTGGATTGAATTCTGGGTGTTGTTATCATGAATGGTAATCTCAGGCTGTTGTCTGCTCTTATTGGTTCTCAGTCCAAAGAACATGTATTAGCATTTCTTGCAAAGTTGGTCTGGTCATTACAAATTCCTTTAATTTCTGCTTATCAGGAAATTTACTAATTTTGTCGTTGTAGTTGATGGACAGCTTTGCTGGATGTATGCTTCTTGGTTGGCAATCTTTTTATTTCAGAGTTTTGTCATCGTGGTTTCTGCTGAGAAATCAGAACGTAGTTTTATTGGTTCTCATTTGTAGGTAATTTTTCATTTTTCCAGAGCTGCTTTCAGGATTGTTTCCTTGTCTTTGATTTTGGAAAGTTTGATTATGATATGTCTTGGTGATTTTCTTTTGGGATCTATCCTGTTTGGGGTTTGTTCAGCTTCTTGTATGCCTATCTCCTCGTCTTTCATGATATTAGGAAAGTTTTCTTCCAACAACTCTTCTACAATTTTCTATGTGCTTGTCTCTTTCTGTTCGGTAATTATAATTATCCCAAGTTGCTCCTCTTCATGGTGTCCCACATTACTAGGAGGCTTTCTTCAGATTTTTTCATTCTTTTTTTTCTGATTGTTCTTCTAGAATACTAGTATTGAGAGATTTCTCTTCAAGCTCACTAATTAGGGCTTCCATTGCTTCACATCTACTTCTTTGCCCTTTCAACGTATTGTCCATTTCTGAGTGCTTGGCACTAATCTTCTGGATTTCTAATCGCAGGTTCTATATTGTTTCAAAATTTGCATTTATTTTGCCTATTTGTTCTTCTAGTGTTTTCCTGAATTCTTCTAACGTTTTATTGTATTCTTGCTTTCCTCCATCTCTCTATCAATGCTTTGAAGATACCTAATCATTATTTTTTTATTGTTAGTTCTATTACCTTACCTTTTCTTTCTCAGAAATGTCTTCTGGCTCTGCATCTCGGTCATTTGTTTGAGCCATTCTCTCTCATTTCTTCATGAGCTCAATTTGTCTGTTGTCTCCGGGGCATTGTGAGGTTGCCCTATTTGTAAAAACAAACAGTGTACTTTTCTCCATTGTCTATCACCAGTATTAATGCACACCCATTTTGTGAGTGATTAGCTTTCTGCAGACCACCAATAATCAGCAAGTGGGTCCACTTCTAGGCATAGAAGGTCTACCTGAGAGAAATTATAGATAATCACAGTGTTATAGTAATTCTGCCCCTCCACCAAAAAAAACCAAAACCGAACTATATCAATAACATTTGACCAAAATATAAGGAGTAATAATGTTCAAAATTCCCCATGTCCACCTATATTCTGTGAAATCAGTCATAATGGGAATCTTTATACCAATGA